CTTTAACTTTAAAAAAAAATAACATTTTAAAAATGATAACATTTTTAATGATCGTTTGTGTTAGAGAAGAAACGTAATATGATCTCCTTTTCTCTCTTTCTCTCTCTTTTTCTCTCTCAAGCTGTTTTACGATATTTCAGACTTAGAAAGTTTGCGAATAAAAAAAATTGTGGATTGTTCTAATGCATAAATACATGAGGCTGTGGCGTAGTTCTAGAATAAATTTGCTTGAGAAGAAAAAATGTATTAAAAACGTGGTAACAATATTATTGCACTCTTTCAGCATGCATCGCTGTATGCATGCGAGCATACAATGTATAATAATATATGTGCGATAATGGTGTAATATAACGCCATGACTTTTATTAGGCGCTGTAACCGACACCGAGTTTAAAGACGATCGACCACTAGGAGACGTAAATGCGCAATTCCGATTATAATGGCAAAGCAATGTGACTACGTGTCTACTCTTTATCTAATATTTTATGAAGATACGACAAAGTTAACGAAAATATTTATTGTAAAGAGCAGCATTAAAAAAACGAACGAGCGGGTGCGAAATTACATCAAGTAGCCAAGTACTTCACGTATTGTCAGTTTGCCGAGGACGCTAAGCGACTTGGATTCGATCGTATCAACGTAAGTGACGGATCGTCCTTCCCACTTGAGACTAGGAGATTCTTGAGAAAAGCTTTTAGGACGTTCTTGGGGTGAACGCACATTACGCTCTTGGAAGGAGAGACAGACATTTTATCCAAAATTACCTTGATTTTATGTTTATTTCCTCTTATTTATGCGATTTCTTGTGCTTTCGCTCCCTCACGCACGTTTGTATCTGTTATTGGAAAATGTTAAAGCCAAACTATATTGTATTGACAACGCGCGTCAGACGTTCGACATCAGATTGACGAGATATCTCTTCCAAACGTCAAATAAACGTCATCAAGTCGCGTGATAACTCGTTCAAAGCGACAGTTGAAGTGCATTGAGCCGTGAGATAATTCGTTTATGAGTGTGAAGAGGTTAGACAAGTCGCGCAACGTTCGTTTACAGTACAATAACGAAGTGTAAGCTTCGTATTGTAAAAAATACACAAGAATGCCAATGAAATACATTGTTTATTGTTTTTCGTATAAGCTTGCTCGTGCAAATAAAATTGTAAAAAACGGCAAATTGTGTGGTTATCTGTGGAATTTTTGCAGGTCTGCATTTTTGCAGTGCAATTTTTGCATGACTGGGTCATTCTGTTATATCAAAATATTAGTTACGTTAATATTGATTTTATGGAAATGTAATAATTAATGCACATAGACAGACAATGTATAAAATAGATATCTGTCTCATTCTTTCTGATTCGTTTACGATTTTATAAGAATATTAACTGTTACACACTATTAATAAGTTACATACTATTATGCATGAATATAATCGGAAATATAATTATTTAATTACAATTGTAATCTGAATATCTGATGGCTAACTATTGCATTTCTACTAAAATTATGTCAGTTATCAATCCTTCAAATTTCTGCCTTAGATTCAAATCTACTAAGGTCTATGAACGTTAACCTAATTTTGTTTCCTTGTCTGTTACACAGATAATATAATAATCTAGGAAGATATTGAGAATTGTTAGTCGGGTTTAGTCAATTTTAATTGTCATTGAAATCCAGTTTTAGAGCTCATTTAATTCGTAAAACTCAAATTGCATGTATATTTATATAGAAGAAAGAAAGACTTTAATAATATTAATAAAATGAAAAATAGAGTAGGTATACATGTATCTTGTTTCGAGTTTGAAACGCATTTTGTAGATGTTAGTAAATCTATCATAATGAATCAATGAAGTATATTCGCAATTGAAAATTTCTGAATAATTAGATAATTAAATTTTCCTTTTAATTTCCTCAAATATTTTCTTCTGAAAAATTCAAGAAGCTAAATGAAATTTATCAGCGCAACGGAGAAGTCGAGATATTTTTATAAATAATTAAAATAAGTAATTATGCAACATTGAAATAATTTGCATTCTGCATGAAATCTGGTTAGGAATAAATTATTTTGAATTAGTTTTCTTCTTCTACTTATTTTATTTAATTAGTTTAAATTGGTATCGGCAGTATATATATATATTCGTCTTCTTCTATTTTTTTCAATTAATATCTATATAAGGCAGATCTTTATTGGTGTTAATGTCACTAATCTCATGATATATTAACGACTTCGGTATGTATGGCACGAGGGAAGATTAAGAATTTTCATTTAGCCACGTTTCTCGAGCTAATTCCATCACATCGGTGAGATGAGTCGCACGTGGACTAAAGACCCTTTTTCCGCCCTACAAGAATTTACATTTTGATCCTGCTGATGAGAATCTACAGAAATGCGAGTTTCCTTGTATAATCAATATTAAAGTTTGTATTTGCATTTCTCCGCTAAACATTAATGCACAAAATCTTCCAAAGAGATTCTCTTGTTTTCACGAGCACGTAAATATCGCTTTGCGTCCGTTGAAACGGACATATTTTTTTTTAAATTCAACTTTCAATATCATAATCGTTGCGTAAAAGCATTCTACAAATCCTATAAATCCTTGTTTGAACACATAATTGCGTTTCGAATATCCCGAGGTCACGCGATTGCCCGATACGGTGAACTCGTAATAAGCGAAATGGCCGCGGGCTTCTACGTATTAAAATATCGAATATTGCAATCTATGATATAGTAATCCGACGAATGAGGATCCGGTGGCGCGCCTTAAGAGGCGACGTAAATTCCCATGAATGGTTCCTTTAGGGTTCCATCCTTATGAGAGGCCGCGAGCGATCTCTGGAAAAACGAGATGATGGACAAGCGTTCTATCAACGTCCATCTTCGGCCGGAAGTTTACTGCGGTGGTTACTGCGTCTATCTCTGACCAGTTTCCGTTTCGCCGGATCCATTTCTCCGTGTATAATGGTATCTCCACGACCAGCGTCCGATCCCGAGGGGGAGATTCGCCATCGGACGCGCCATATTTTACTTAGAAAGAATCCGCGGCAGGTGGCCGATACGAGTGCTTATAACTGTTAATGTATTCGTTCGCTCTGCATTTCTACGCAAGGGCGATTATATATTGTGCGATTATAGTACGAGAAATATCTTATCGCGATACGGTACGAGCGACCCGGGCTGCAAAATCATAAGTAAGAAGGACTCGCTGCAAACTTCTAATTAGTATGTCGATAAAGCTTTTTGCACGGTCCGCTGCATAGCTCTAGATCGCCGCACGCGATATCGTCGTATGAATAATTTTAGAGAAAGCGCTATCTTGCAAAGGGTTTACGAAACATGAGTGTTTCCACTGTTGAATATGCGCGCACTATATATTTGAGATGCATACATCGCTTTACGATAATGCACGCACAGAAACTGCGTAGAACGCCAGCGGTCGGGAAAGGTCGCGGACTGATCATTTTGCACAGCGGCGCTTTGTGCTTGGCGTTTATATCGCTTTGCGATACCAGATGCGGCGTCATGATAAAGGAAAAGATTGCCAGTCAGAGAAACGAATGCTTCGGAACAATCTTTCGAAAAGCGTTCTCGAAATGTTCGTCACGTCTGGCGTTTCGCGAGTCGCCTAATCGATCGACGCTTCCCTGGGGTCGCCGATTTTATCGGCGCACGCCTCCCAAGTGCAGTCACTCGCGCGGAACTTTTACAATTTCACCCGGTTAGAGATGCTTGACTTGCGATAAATTGGCACCGTTGGCCTAAGAGACTGTCGTATTGTGGGGAAAACAGTCTGGTTGGTCATATAGCGCCCGCTCTTTACGCGCTCTTGACGGCGAGGCACATTCGCGAAACTTTTAGGTGCCATAACACATACCCGCTCTTATTTCACAAGGAACGTGCGGCACACTAAAAGCTCGACGATGCCGGGTGAGTTACCTTCGAGACACGTGCTGCGCTTTCCTTTTTCCTACCGGTTGATTCAAAAACATTCCGATGACGTGCGCGGGAGATTGAAAAATAACATTGTTCAATAAACAATCACTGCAATATTTTTTTTTGCATTTTTTTGTTCGCTCTGCAAAGCATTTCGTCTTGTATCGAGTGCGGCGACCTATTTTTTTTTTTTTCGTAGAAACAGTAATTCTAGCAAGATCCACGCCAGCATCTGCATTGTGCAACGTTTCTCCCGAGTTCATTCTCCGCAATCTCATCGGTACGGTGGTGTACGTTTCTCTGTGACAGCTTTGCTTAGATATCACGCTGTTAATGCTTATTCGGCACCGTCGCGCTCGCGGAGTGGCACAACAATCGATAAGATCCGTTTCACGGTAATGATACGCGCCACCGGCTCCCGTTATGCAGATGCGAATACACGAGCGGCGCACACGCGCGCACGGTGTGCGAACAAGCGTACGTAGCGCGTCGACATTCGCCGTTGTTTGCTCCGCAAAAAGTCACTCGTGTCGCGCGCCGCGGAGAGCGGTTGAACGCCGCCAGGTTTGCGCGTCGTCGATCGGCCCGTCGAGAGAAAGACATCAAAGTCGTGAAACTCGAGATCGAAATCAGACGCGCGATGTACCTGGGAAAAAGCAGTAACGGTTTCACGGTAAAACCGGGAGTTTTCCAGAGTGTCGAGAGGAAGAGCGGGAGGGAGAGAGATAAAAACGGAGTGAGTGAGTGAGTGTGCGGCGAGGTGGTTCGGTCGAAGGACGGAGGGGTGAAGGGAAAACGTAACAGGGTGGAAGTGGCTGCCGGTCGCGGTGGGGGTTCGGAGGACGGTGGTGGTGGCGTGGCTACGAGGGGGTGAGACAGGGGAGAGTGGGGAGCTACCGAGACGGAGAAGATCGGACTAGGGATAGTGACGGCACCGGGGGTAGACGCGATGCCGGGCGGTAGGGGTGGCCACACGGGGGTAGGGATGGCGGTACGACTTTGGGGGTTGGAAGCAGCTGAGAGCAGTGCGAGTAGGTCACACCGTCGAACGGAGTGGCAGTACGCGTTTTGGCGAACGGCGAACGATTCGTCGTCTCACCGGAAGACGGCCCCGATAATCTTTTGTTATCCTCGTCGGCGACTGAGGCGACTCTTTTGCCCTCTCGCACCCCTCAAATGCACGACTATCCTCTTGCGCGCGGGATAAAGGGCCTGGACGGTGCCCTCTCGTTCGCTCGCTATCACTTTTGAAACGGCCCGCCCTCAGACTTGCGATTCTATCTTGAACGATCCAGACTGTCCTCGCGGCAAAGAACGGCGATCGAATGATTCTTGAGCGGTCGTGGGTTTTTATCAGCCGAAGACACTCGCCTTAGTCGCTGCAACGTTGTCCGGAGAGAGAGAGAGATCGCGGATCGATTTCGGGGTTCGCGAGAGATTCGTTATCCTTGTATTTTCATTCTCTCCTCGCCACCTCGTCAAAAGGATAGTGAAACACAATTGAATTTCCACTCTCGATATTGTAATATTAGATATGTGCGATTATAAATAAACTCGATACCCCTCGATAAACGAAAACAACGAAGGAAAGTTAAGTGGTGAAAGAAGAACGAACGAAGGGGGAGAGAAGGAGAGATTTTTATGGTGCCTTTTTCGTGGTGCGTCGTATCCCGCCGAAATTGCCGTTTCTTTCACACAGTGCGTGTGGAAGAAGGGTGTCTCGAAGAAAATAAACTCGACAAGAGAGGAACTCGGGCATGATGAAACTCGCCACGACCCACGCTCCGGACTCGTCGAGGGGTGTATAATGTGATCATCAGGGATCCTGTTGTTGTCGCCCAAGGCGTCCAGTTGTTGTTGTTGCGTTCGCGTTACGTTGTTTGTTGTTGATTTATTGAGCGCGGTCACATGAGCTCGGTCTTCCAGTGCGTGTAGCTAAAAAAAAACTCCGCGCACTTCCGGTGCCCCGGTCGCGGGACGGTTCGATAACACACGCGCATACATCATATACATACGCGCGCGCGTGTCATATTTTTACACGCGCACGCCATTAGCGACACTTGCGTAATCTAGGACATTGAAGAGCGTTCCACAATTGTGTGATAATTTTAACGACCGCTATTCAATGAAACATAACGAGCGAGCCAGCCAGCCGCTTGGAAATTGGGTTAAATAGAATAACTGAAACTTCCAAACCATCGACTCGAACTTCCGAACTTGTACCGACCTAGTGTGCTTGTCGATGATATTTCTTTTGTAAGGCACTTTTGCTTATCTTTTAAAATAGACGCTCCTTCCACCGACAAGACGCGACCAATGAAAAGATAATAAAAACGAGAGACCGCGAGGGAGTAAAGTCAACGAGAAATAAAGAAGAAAAGTTATATAAGTGGGCGGCGGAGAAAGATAACAGCGTAAGCACACAGAGGAAGTAGCGGAAGAAACCGTGTAAGCTTGCCGAGACGGACGGCAAGTAGTAGAGCAGTTACTCGATAGCGACGCACGTTGGGTCGATAGCGCGTGGTCGAAGGTAGGAAAGGTGAATTACCTGCGTCAACGAGAACATCGAACCGGTCCAACATCGAAACGACCCAAGCTCGCATATTGCGAGCCTACCGTCATTATCGTAAATCGTTTCTTCCTCCACGAAAACACGAGAAATTTGTATAGTCGCGCGGAAAGGGACCGAGGCGCGTAACCGGTGAGGATACCGAATGATGAAACGCGATACATCGATGAGCCGCCAGCGGATCGACAAGGAGCACGCAGAGTGCGTCGCCATTGGGAGATAAACCGCGAGCGGGGACAAGAGAGCGATCATTTCCGGCGGAATATCCTCCACGACGGGCGATTGAGTCGATTGAATTCGCGGAACGCACGGCACATCGAATACTCTCTGAATCCTCTTCTTGTCGCAGAGGTAACGGTTGAAAATGGAAATTGCGGCATCAGCTATGTTGGACGGCCTGAAAAACAATCGTATCGGCAAGTTGGCGCTGTCGCGGTTCTTGTCGCAGAGTCTGTGAGTAAAATAATCTCGTGTGTGGAGCACGAAATTGATAGGACAGCCCGAGACATCGACGATGACGAGTGAAATATGATGCACGCGTATATAATGCCTGCCGCATGTATGTGTATATGTTTGTGCATGCGAACAAGTTTCCTTGTGGACATGTCAACGCTAAACAACATTCTCTCATACAGCGATATCGCATTAAACGTCTTGGGAAGAGAAATGTTAGAAGGATCATAAGATTTCACAAAAAGGTTTCATGAAAATTCTAAACTCCAGTCAATTATTTTGAATGAATTTTCAATAAATTTGCGCGATTTCACGACACCGTAGAAGGGAATTTTCTCTCTTAACTGTGTTATACGCCGGGTTGAATATCGCAATTTGATTTTTCCGCTACTACGTCACGCGATCTCGCGCGACAACTTTATTTTTCCGAAATTGATTTTCCTGATCGATGCTCTTCTTCCCGATGATGCGATTTCATAAGTGTCGTCGCCGTGACTTTCCTTTGTGATCCGGCAATAAAACACAGGTTGGACACGTAACCCGTAGTCCGCACTTTATCATGCGAGATAACTCACGAGGTATATGTCGTAGGGGCTGTTGAAAGCAATAAATTAATTGGGTGAATATTAGTTCCGCCGGGATGGCTGCGCTCGTGTTACTCTACACGTAATTATATAGGGCATACCACAGCCGTGATAGCTAAATGTCAATAATGTATTCTAGTTAGCGTAATAAACTATATAGGAACGGTGTACGAATTTATATTATGGCTCCAATCTGGAATTGTTTGAGAGAGAGAGTTTTACAATGCATTATATATTATATAAATAAGCCCATCTTATAAATAAACATCTGTCGGAAATAATTATCGGTGATCGCGATTCGATTATAATAATGTGAAATATTAGAATGCGATAAGCATTAATTTAATCAAGGATGTGATACTCGCGCATTATTAAATACACGTTCGGTTTTGCGCGTAATTTAAACCAAGTGAAAATGATTATTTATATGCAAAAACACATTCAATGTCTCGGTAATAAACTGTGCAATTTCATTAAATTAATATACATGTTACAGATATGCAGATATAAATGTATTTCTTACGGCACGTTAATTCGATTGATTAATCTCTAATGAATTTAACTTTCATAAAATTCGTATGCAGCTGTTACTTTTTTACTGATGTTGCGATCGTTGATACTCGACCTTCCTCAATCAACGTAAGCGTTGACTCGTGGATTTACAATAAACACAATTTTACGGGCGTTTTGTTGTCTCGGATACGGTTGGATGGTTTTTACACACTCATCTAAAGTGCTCTCTGGTAGCGCATTTCCGAAAATCATTCTTTCCTTTCGTTTTTGCTCCGCAATCATATTTTTACAACGATCAGAAATTTGTGACGACTCAATCTCTGACAGAAATGGAAAATTTGGTTTTCATGCTTTATATATTGCGGTACTCGAAGAAATATTATATCATACGTTATAGAGGAAAGCATTTAAACGTTATTAAATATCGTATTTTCAAATCAGATTAAATTCTTCCTTTATAAAACGATTATAAGGCAAAGAAGTGGAATTTTACTGAAATATTACAATCGAGTAAGTCAGTAATTGGCCCGTAAAGGCGACCTATCTATCAGGGCAAGCACCCTACATAACAAAACGTACTTAACCGTAGGTTAAGAACCACTTAGCTCGATGAGATATAGTGAACAGAATCAGGAGTGATCTGACGCGGAAAATGAAGTGCATATATTGACACATCAAGTTATTTAATTCTTTCGAGTATAGTGTCGTATTGTGTAGCTTTAGAAATGACACATTTATTTTACAAATAAAAAGTCTTAAAATAGTGGATTAAACATAATTTACGTGTTTTATTCTTTGTCAGTTTAGATTTTTATCGTTTTTAGTATTGTATCCTGTTTTCTATTTTTTTAAAGCGTAGGAAATTGTCATATTATATTTTTCAGAACGATGTATTCTACGAGAAAAATATGACGAGAGATTTTGAATTAAAATCTCTTCAACCTGAAAACTCCTTTAAGTCATATAATCTGATCTTCCGCTTCCGCAAATCGTGGTTACATCTATGAGGAGTAAATATAGTATTCGACACCTTCTTATAGCTCTTATCAGATTAAAGTCCATAGCTTTTTCGCAGCACACATTCGAGAAAAGTATGATGGATTTCATGCCGCGAAATTCTCGTGTCACAACATATCTCGTGTCTGCCACTTTCTTGCACTTGTTTGTTTCATAACGCGGAGTGCGGAGTAATAAATCGTGTATGCTGTTTCTCGTAAATACACAAAGGAATTATCGCGCAGAGAAATAGGAATGCTACGATAAGTTGATTATATCTATAATTAAGAAAATTCTTCAATTTAACGCGACAGAGGGATATAAATTGGTTAAGTTTTTTTCGAAACACGATTTAATTCATTCTTGCAGATTTTTAATTAAGTCATTATGCGCTACAAATATTCTACTTGCCGTGAAATAATTTGGTTAAAAAAAGTCTTTGAGTTACGATCGAGTCATTTGTGACTTCGGAACTTAGTTACTTGATCTTGGAATTAATAACTTTAGAAAAATCACATCTAGTAACACTTAGTTTCTGTTTTATATTTAAAGAAATTAAAAATTATGTAATATAATCAGTAACATATATACGCAATGTAAGATAAATTTTTTATAGATTATCGTATATAAGAGATACTCTCTCTTGTGTATGTTATTTTAATTAATATACTTAAGACATTAAGAACGCAGCAGTCATACTTTGTGAAGAGATTAAAGATTTCTTGACATTATCTCGTAATTAGAATGGACTTTTTACGACACTTATCTCCGATTCGAAAGCAAGGAATTTTATTCGAAAAATAGTCGCTCGAATGCAGCCAATTTACACTATTTCCGATTGGACAACCATCATATACCTTTTTACTGGAGGAAATTATTTCTACGTGACGGACATGCAATTCTGATATAGTACGCGATAAATGAAATTGCAAAATTCCGGTATAATTCGCGGTAAATGAGGTTGCTGGTAACTGAAATTGTCTACGTGTTTCGTTTGTGATAAAACAATATGGCTCCGGGATATTTATAATCTACTGGTCTTTAAGGAAATGAGCGAGGAAACTTGTCTTGATATCTTTTGTTGTCTGACAGGTACGTAGATCTTTTTAGTGGCATTTATTTTAGTAACAGTTTAAGAGATTGAAATCTTGATATTGAATATCTCTTTAATTCTCATCTAGGAATAATATTTTCAACAAAGTGACAAAATGTGTATGTTACATTATTTCGCGCGCCAAGCATAATATTTACTTTGCTCGTGCGTACTCGGAAATTTTCAAATGAGAGCTTTCTCGTTATGCTATTGAAAACTACTTAAAACACCAACTCGCACGTAGCGGGAATTCAACCAACTCCATAATCTTAACTATTCCGTAATTTCAATAAAGTTGTGCCTCTGCGCTGAATTAACATTCGCAAATCGTGTAATGCGTAATTCATATAGAACGCGTAGTATTAAATTGCGCAAGAATACATTCGAGAGGAGTCGTAAATATTTCAACGTGTTCGAGAAATTTATGGTTTGATTATACAAGATCACATTTTGCATACACACATTAATTAATACACGCTTTACTCGCGGAATAATGTGCTAATTACAAATGCAAAAATTTGTTTGATAAAAATATTATTTCGTTTTATGCACAATAAGTCGTCGAATATTAGCGTACAATTTCCGATGTTTTTTCGAAAATTATGGTGAAATTCTTAACGTGTTATACGAGAAAATATGATTTAATTATGATGCAGGAAATGTGTTTTTGTCAGGTCGGAAGTTTGACGTCATAACCATAAAATACACACTTGATCGACTTGTCTGGCGTTCATGATGTCGCGAATTTTAAGACGGTTTTCCGTCGTAACCGTAAAGCGGAATCCGTACGATGACAAGTGAGATAACAATGTTCGCTCGATACTATCGTTCATACTCTCGTTTGGCAAACGTATGGAGAAATAAAATATCGCGATGCGTGCACCGACGCTTGCATTAGACGGAAGTGCACTCCAAGCGAATTTATCGCTCTTTTCGGGTGATAGAGCAAACGGGCGTTGCTACGTTACTGTAGGTGAATTATTGCAATTAAAGTACGTCCGCGCCCGGTAGACGAGATGGGAACCGGGGAAACCCAAACTCCGTAAAATTGCCATTAACTTCTGACTGTGTACTTTTTTCCGAGATCAGCGCTCGCTTAATACAACATTATTTCAGCGAATCCCGATACGGTGGAAAAAAGAGAAAATGTTGGATGTGGAAAACGATAGCGTTTGCATTTTGATTGCAATATTTTTTAGCAGTTTTCCATGATCCTTACATTTGCAATATTTTTTTGTCAAGTTTTTAAAGATAAAAAAATTATGAATATGCTGAATAAATTTTTGATTCGGAAAAATGTATTGAAAATTCTGTAAGAATACTATCTAATAATTTTTTAAATAAATGATACTTGATAAAAAAATTTAGATATTTATTGATTTTAAAATTTGCTTTTTGTTGTATTTTAATGTAAAAAGATTGTATTTTTAAATAATTATTTCATGACCTAGTTTCAATTTATAAAGGCTATTCTATAGAAGCGATCGTTAGCGATATATAATCTGACCGTTGCAAAAGCTCAAAACTATTTTATTTTTACGTATTTTGTACTATATAATCTATTCCCGTAACGTATCAACGCAAATTACAAGGGTAGAGCCATGCGAATCATTCAGTACATGTAATTAAAGGAGCGTGAAATGTGTGTCCGTTTTTATCAAGTTGACAAACGATTGAACTCGGTATTATATGTATGCATCTGCTTGTATGCGTTTCTACATTCCATGATGCATTAACATCCACTGTACACATCGTGGCCTTAATTACCGTCTCGCGAGCGGGAATAACAGACACAGGATCGAATTAAAAATGGA